AAACCCACCAGCTACTCCTCGGAAGGAAGGTTGGGCAATCCTACTTCCGTAGTGATACTGCCTCGGAAACCCAAGGAGGGGTCGCTATGAGTCGGATTTGACTCGAGGGCACATAACAACAACAACAACAACAACATTAGAAAAGAAGGAACTTTTGTGGTGCAGTGGTTAAGGCATTCAACTGCTAACCAAAAGGTTGGTGGTTTGAACCCACCAGCCTCCGAGAGAGAAAGATGAAGTAGTCAACTTCTATAAAGATTTACAGCCTTGGAAACCCTATGGAGAAGTTCTATTCTGTCTTCTAGGGGTGCTATGAGTTGGCAATTCGATGGCAGTGGGTTTGTTTTTGAATTGTAAAAGGTATTGCATTAAGGCTGGAGTGTGAAGACAAAATGAAGAATTATAGACCCAGACCCCCCCCCCCAAATATTGCATTGAGCAAATCTGCTGCAAAAGACCTCTTTGAAGTATTAAAAAGCAAGGGTGTCACTCTGAGGACTGAGGTACACCTGATCCAAGCCATGGTATTTTATTTATCTATCTATCTACCTATTTATTTATTTTTAAGCCATGGTATTTTAAATTGTCTCATATGAGTGCAAAAGCTGGACAATGAATAAGGAAGACCAAAGAATAACTGATGCCTTTGAGTTATGACATTGGCAAAGACTACTGATATGGCAAAAGGCTGCTGAACCATGGACTGTCAGAGGAACAGTCTGTCTTAGACGAAGTACAGCCAGAATGCTCTTAGAAGTGAAGATGATAAGACTTCATCTCGTGTACTTTAGTCATGTTATGAGGAGGGACCAGTCCCTGGAGAAGGACATTATGCTTGGTAAAGTGGAGGGTCAGTGAAAAAGAGGAAGGCCCTTGACTAGATGAATTGACACAGTGGCTGCACCAATGGACTCAAATATGGCACCGATTGTGAGGATGGTACAGGACTGGGCAGTGTTTCGTTCTGTTGTACATAGAGTCACTTGTAAGTCAGAACTGACTCGATGGCATCTAACAACAAGATTACAAAATGGAGAAGTATCAATGAAGCCAAGAATTCTAGGAAAATAATGATAAAATAATAACAGTGGTAGCTCTACTTTTCATTGTGAAAAAACAATCTCTTTATCGTTTTTCCTAAGCTAAACTTTGAAATAGTTAATAACCCATTTCTCCTCTCTTCATTGTTTGCATAAGTCACCATCAACATTCTGGTCAGAATGACACAAAAAGTAACATCACTGAGTTCACAGAATTCCAGCCCAAAGAAATTTGGCATTTTTATTAGTCTGTGCTTCCTCATTTCAAGTAATTCTGTAATTTCCATTGGGCTTTTTAAAGTACTGGTAATACCTTACAGATTTCCATAACCACTTTTGAAGACATGTCAATACTCAAAAGTAAAAAATGTCACTCTGTAGTGTGTGCTTAATCCTTTACATTTCAAGTTGATCCTTTGGATTTTCAAATCTCAGAAAACCTTAATATGTGAGTAATAAAGTTGTCATCATTTAAAGATTGATAAATAAATAAATATTCATATTTCCAGCTTCTCTTGAAAAATGGAAGCCTTGGCAACCCTGGGTTCATAAGCACCCTAATTTTTTTTTATGGCAACATATAAGTGTGCTTATGAAAATATCTCAATAGGTGGGGGGAGGGGGAGGGCACAACAGGCAAAAAAAAAAAAAGAAATGTAGAATGAACAGATTTAAACAAAAATATGGTAATAGCCTCTGCCTTTGTATGAGACATGTATTTCTAGTTTGCCACAGTCCACACCACTCCCTAATGATCACACCCTAAACATCACCTCCTTGGCTCCTCTAGGCATTTGATAATCAAGTTCTAATTCCAAGGCCTGTCTAGTGACTATGGTCCCAATCTATTGCCATGTTTTGCCTGGTGGGTATAGGTGGCCCCACTTCTACCCCCGATCCTTGCCCCACTCCTGTCCCCGATCCTTGGTACCACGTGTATGAACACACTGCTGCTGCTGCTGCTGTGAGCTCAGAGCTGCCACAGGCCTGGGTGATGAGTAGCAGCAACCCACACCTCACAGGAACACATTCTGCAGCTGATGAGAAGTTAAGAGCATCATGTCAGCAAAGATAGGGAGAAGTCAAACCCCAGAAGGCCACAAAGACTGTTCTGTGTTTTAATTAAAACTTGGGAAACAACAAAAAAATCAACCTCTAGTGAAGGTTTCCTAGAGGAACACTGCTTTCTGCTTGTTTTAGCACTGCCTCGCTGCATTGGTGAAATTCTCCCATGACCAACTTCGGAAGCATTAAAATTCTTTTATTTTGAATAGAGGCTGTAGAGGCAAGGCTGGCATTTGAGGATCTTCTCAGAGCTAATTAACTGGTGGGAACCTTGATGGCTCAGTGGTTAAGCACTCAGCTGCTAAACAAAAGGTCAGCAGTTCAAACCCAGCAGTGGCTCTGTGGGAGAAAATACCTAGTTATCTGCTCTTGTAAAGATTGACAGCCTTGGTAACCTTATGGGGCAGTACTCTGCCCTACAGGGTCACTATGAGAATCGACTTGTTGGCAGCAAGTATCTGGTTTAGCTACACTGAGTGGAATACCATGAATTTTACTTTGAAGGAAAAAAAAATTTGTGTCACTTCTTTTGATGTTTACCAGAAATAATAAAAAAAAAAAAACCTCACTGCCGTCTAGTTGTTTCCAACTCATAGCAACCCGTCCTTGGGTGGCTGAGGCAGTGTGATATTGTCAACTTGGCTGGACCACAATTCTTTGTGGTTTAAGCTATTGTGATGTGGTTATTCCCATGATGGGATCAGATGATTATGTTTGAGCAGACAGTCTGTTGAAAGGGAGTTTCCCTAGGGGTGTGGCCTGCTTCCAGTATATCCAAAAACATCCTGGGAAAAGAAACATTCTTCTGTGGATCAGGATTCTGTCATGCTGCCTCCAACTGTCCGTGAGTGAACAGTCCACCATTCGGCCTAGAGATCTTGGATTTGTCATTCGTTGGAGTCAACAGCCGATGTACTGCCTGCCAGCCTTGAGCTCCACAGCCCCTGTGGTTGCAAGAGCCAGAAAAAGCCTCCAGCTTGACGTTTGATCCAGGAACTTAGGACTTGCCAGCTTCTATAAGTGTGTGAGCCATTTTCCTAAGATAAATTTATCTATATATACATATATAGATAAACTTTACTGGTTTTGTTTCTCTAGAGAACCCAGTCTAACACAGGCAGTGTCTCTACTGAAGTAGGTTGCCCAACCTTCCATCCGAGGAGTGGCTGGTGGGTTTGAACCGCCAGCTTTCTGGGGTTAGCAGTCAAATGCCTTAGGTACTACGCCACCAGAGCTCCCAACAATTAATAGATGTGGATAAAAGGTTTATGGTTGCTGATTGTATGTACTAGTGCAGTTTTTCTGTGAGTTTGAAATTTTTCAAATTAAAAAGTTGGTTTAAAAACACAGCATTCATTGAAAAATAATAAAAGGCAATCCAAGTGCACTGTAGCATCCTGGATTGGATCCTAGAACATAAAAAGGACATTCATGGGAAAGTTGGTGAGATCTGAATAAAGTCTGGGGTTTAGTTCATTGCAATGGACCAGTTAGGCAAACACACCGCAGTTATGAAGATATTGACATTAGGGGAAACTCAGTGAAGGGCATACAAGAATCTCTGTGCTACCTTTGCTGTTTTTCCATAAATCTAAATTTATTCCAACATGAAAAGTTTATTTTAAAAAGGTAATAAATATTCAAACCTCAACCTTCCCTTTCTGCGTCTTACAGTTATTTGTGTTTTTGAGCCTATTTCTGTCTACTGTACCCATATGGTGGAAATAGTAACTAATGTTGTGCTGCTACTTTGTGTTTCTTCCCAAACATACATTCTGTGACTCCAGTGTTGGTAGCTTGGAATTGACCATGATGGAAGTATTTACACCATGAAAATTGGCAAATACTACAAATTAATCTCTACTCCAGTTATTAAACATCTGCCAGCACACAACTGATTCCACCTTATCTTTAAGGCTCCTTTAAGCAATACAAATTGCTGATTGCAGCCAGTGACAGGCTTGACTTTATGATGTCCTTTAATGAAAATAAGAATATTAAATTCATGTGTGGACTGGGTTAACAATTTTCTAAATATTTTTTAGCAAGGGGTGAAATTTTTGTCCAACCAAAAGAATAGAGCACATTTTTCCCTTTCTGGCCTGTTGTTTTTATTTTATAATTTATTCAATACAGTGTTTAGGAGACTGAGTACAGTACTGTACTTTACCACAGAGAGGAGCTGTTTCTACACTTTGTTTTTCTTTCTTTCCTTCTCTTCCAATAAAGTCACAGAATTTTAGCCTGTTAAAAGAATGCTTCAGTATTTCCTTGTTCTAAACTAGTTTTTAACTACTTTTGCTACACAACAAACTGTTAAAGGTGATTATCTCAGGAAGGAGTGAATTAGGTGTAACTTTATTTTTGTTTATTGATGATAGTTTTATATTTGTAACCAGATAAAATAAGAAATATATCACAAATTAATTCTGAGGTTGTGACTTCTAGGCTGTTGGGGTGCCAAGTTGGTTGAGTGTTGAGT